GCTGAGACTATTTTTAATGGTTTTATTCTGCTTTATCTCATATTTTATGACAAAGCATAAAAAATACAGATGTTTTTATCTATGGTTTAAGAATTTAATCTAACCCAATATATGTCTATACACACACACACACACACACACACACGCGCGCGCGCGCAGGCATATATATATATATATAATATATATATATATATATATATATATATATATGATTATATGTGTGTGTGTGGTGTGTGTGTGTGTGTGTGTGGTGTGTGTGTGTGTGTGTGTGTGTGTGTGTGTGTGTGTATATACATATATATATATATAATATATAATATATATATATAATATAATATATATGTATATATATATACACACATATATATAGGTAGATAGATAGATAGATTATCATTTTTTCACATTCATATTCTTTAGATTTCTTTATTTATGACTCATAACAGCAACATGTAAACACTTTGCAACACCCAAGTTCTTCCTGTTGAGTGTGTCATAAACTGATATCGACTCTGTAAGTGTATATGTGTGTGTGTGTGTGTGTGTGTGTGTGTGTGTGTGTGTGTGTGTGTGTGTGTGTGTGTGTGTGTATGTATGTGTGTGTGTGTGTGTGTGTGTGTGTGTGTGTGTGTGTGTGTGTGTGTGTGTGTGTGTGTACTGAAACATGGCGTAGATGCCCCTAGAATTGTGAATTACTAATACATCTGCAAAAGTATTGACAAATAAAAATAATAAACACATGAATAAAAAGGTAAAGGTACAGGTAAGAAATACACAAAAATGAAAAACGAAGCTATTAATATCTTGATAGATTTGACAGATAAGATACTAATGAATTAGTGAACTGCATCATTATCTTTTCTTATTCAGATATTTAAAGGATTACCAATAAGAAAAATATAAAAAAGTAATCTAACAATGCATAATGAGATTTGTTAATCATTATAATAAAACGAAAAGGTAGAATAAACAGTCAAACAATTAATGCATGTTTATATTTGAATTTTATAAATTACGTTAGTCACCCATCATCCTTAGTAAAAGAAACGGAATATGGCGTCAAAACAAATAACTGTGAATGAATTACCTTTTATATATATCTGCTATAACTGACAATCACATTGTTGAGAAGGTATCACCCAAAGGAAATCCAAAGAAAATATATAAAGGGAAAAAGTACTTATTACAAAAGATATGGAAAGTTTCCTCTATGATTCAGCGTCATTTAAAATCTCTCGACAGATGTCAGCAGTGTTTGTTTGTTTGACTTTTATTTATTCATCTATTTACTGGATTACTACTATTATTACCACTATCATTATCATTACTGATATTATCATTATTATCATTACTATTGTAACTATTATTATGATATTATCATAACTGTCGTAACTATTTTATTATAATTATTTTCATCATTATTATCATTACTATTATTATTACATTTATTATTATCATCATAATCATTACTATTATTATTATTGTTGTCATTTAATAATTATCATTGCTATTATTACTATAATTATCATTACTATCATTATTATTACTATTATTGTTATAATTATCATTACTGTCATTATCATTACTATTATCATTATCATTATTTTTGTTTTCATATTACTATTATCAATTGAACCTGATCGGGACATGCTGAGGTAAAATATTTCCTTTGCCAAAGAATGCTAATCATCCAGACAAATCTGTTTTGCATTAGTAAACAGTTTGTAAACGAAATTAACATTTTCAAAATAATAAGGATCTAATGTAACGGCGTCATTTCAGATTATTCTTTGGGGAGGGGGTGGCGAGTGAAGTGAAATGAGCAATTCTAGGGACATCTTCAAGCTAAATCAGATCTATATGTGTGATTTAGTCTTAAAAAAATAAAATTGATACCCAGACCTTTAGCGGGGCATAGTTTTGAGGGGGCAACTGTCCTCTCCCTCTTGTTTGACGCACTTGGTCTAATATTTTATCTCTTCATTATTTTTTTCATTATTTTATTTTTCAGCATAAACACAGTTGTTATCTAGTTGGATCGTGTACCTGAATATAATATAGGTGTACCTGACTGCATTTTGCTTGAATCAGAACAGTTGTGTTAACAGTAATGTCAATGAAACACAGTCCGTGTATTTCTTCAGGTTTATTATACTAAAGGTTCCTTAAATAAAGATTCCTTGCAAAAATGTTGTTTTCTTTCAAGTACATAACTGGTTCGATAGGTTAACGCCAGCCACTTTGTCAGTTCTTAAGAGCCAGCGACGAAACAAACCAGAATTTAAATCAGAGAGGCTGTGTCTCAGAACGAGTGTCTGTCCCTTTGTGGTACAAAACGCAGAGAACTCTTCAGTACCACTTTTTAATACATAAAGTTATCTATAATAATGATAAAAAATTATAGAAATAGACAATCAAATCTAAAGCGTTTTCTTTGTCATCACTCTGACAACATTAACGTCAAAGCAATTTACACAGACACGGCAATGAGTGGTGACGAATACTGTAAACCAATGATGGCCAAGTACATCAGGTGGCTTTGGTACAGGATGCCACAAAGTCTAACACCAGGTGAGAAATAATACTCTTATTAACGATGGATTTCATTATGCAAGGAAAGAAATGATATGAGACAGTGATAATGAAGTTTAAAGTAATATGAGGTGAATGATCATGATGATGAGTGAGTTATGAATAACAAGTCAGTGACGAGGTATGGAAGAAATTAACCAAATTTGTGGAATTTATCGATAGGGTCCGAGAGGGAATGATGCAACTAATATGAATGAATGAATGAGTGATAACATATGAATGGGGAATGAAAACATCAGACCATCATACACGCACCAGAATGAAAACCCATCATTCAGAAAGATTCGGACACTGAGCCCAACGAAATGCATGGTGGCCACGTGGAGCGATGTAAACAAACATGATACGACACAAAACATATCGACTAATATTCCTTGGGAAGAAAACATACATCGAAAGCTTTTTTTTATTATTTTTTTTTTCTATAGTTGTGTTTTTTCTTAAATCTCTCTCTGTTAAGGTGCGTTAGGACACAGTCGCTTAACGAAGACATCGACGTTGTAACCAAATGAACTCGGTGAAACAATTCTTACGCTGCTTGTGTACTCGCTGACTTCTACGCTCATCTACGATACCATCTTTTGAACTACATATAAGAATAACAAGACTATATCATTTACACAAGGATTTGTAAATATGCAATGTACAAAATAATTCACACAAAAAAGGACTTTGAAATTGAAAAAACGTGTACACGTGTTACAGCAACACATACTGGTGCGAATAGTGTAAAGTGTTTGCTATAATGTCCGTTAACAGAAGGACTAGCTCATATGTTATGGGTATATACTCAGGGCAAGTGTATGTTTGGGTGTTCATTAAGCTGATGTGTGTAATTACAAACTTACAAATATATGTGAGTACACGTGCGTCTGTGCATGTATACATAATGCGCATAGATGTACATCCTACGCACACAAAATAACCTATATGACAAGCTATATGTTCCACTCATGTACACTGGAATTTCATAGACACTGAATCCTTAAAGGTCACTTATCATGGGGGTATTGGGAGACCATTGTTCTGAGGAGTTTCAGGGTCGCTTTTGGTGAGGTACAGGTAGCGGGCTGGGGATGGGTAGGAGGAGGAGGAGGAGGAGGAGGGGAAGGAGGAGGAGTGGAGGAGGGGAGAGGAAGAGGAGGAGGGGAAGGGAGGAGTGGAGGAGAGGAGGAGTGGAGGAGGGTTAGGAGGGGAAAAGGAGGAGGAGGAGGGAGAGGAGGGAGGGAGGGAAGGAGGCATGTCACAGCAGTAGCAGAGAGTTGAATAGACGATCCTTTTTTTTTTAAACTGTACATAAAAAAATAAGTGTGCGCTAGATGTAGTAGCACTGACGTCTTCTTCGTGAGGATGCCCCATGTGGCAAGGGAAACGCATCACATCTGGCATCTGTAGGTTAGGCATGTGTTCTCATCTGCTGTTTCGCTGTGCTGTGTCGACCGCTACATAACTAAGAGACACGGTACATAATCCGTAGGTACGTAGAGCTGTCTCGGCTTGTCACGGGCGTTGAATTGGCATTGTATGTACACTATTATATGTATTGCCATTGTATCTTGCATTATTTCATTAGTCTCCTAACAACCACGGATGCATACGGTGGTGTTGCAGGCCATTTTGTCTCGTTTATATCTACTATGTGGGCCTGTGTGTTAACAGTGCCAATGCATGTTCTACAAGCCCGATGGATTGTCTCAAAAAGGTGACTGATTCTCACATAGAGCTTCTTGTCACAGCATATGCAAAATAGTCTTATATGTAAAATATTACTATCAGTATAGTATAGGTATCCAGAAGTAACATAATGTAAACAATGAATGAAGCATATTTTTTTCAAGCAACGCATAAACACATCTGTTTGTCAGTATCAAATTCAAATTTGCACGTGCTTTGATACCGGAAATTGAATTGGATAAATGTATGAATATAATATTCTTGTAAATGTCAAATCCAACAGAAAATAGATTTTTAATAAGCTAGAGAAGAAAGATTAAGAAACTTTATGGAACAAAAGAAAAAGGTTATATATATATATATATATATATATATATATATATATATATATATATATATATATATATATATATATATATATATATATATATATATATATGGAGTGTACTTTGTGCCCCAGAGTCCGCAGCTCCTCGCACCGCGCAAGTAGAGGCCGGCCGCCGTTACCAGTTCTTCTTCCTTTGCCTCACGCCCTCGGCTTCTAGAAGATCCTCGCCCTGGTCTGTCGCGGGCGAGAGCGAAGGCTTTCGGTCCGGCGTGAAGAAGGGCGAGGACGAGAAATTCTGGCTGGCCACGGTGGATGAGTTCTGGCTGAGCGTGGATGTGTTCTGGTTGACCGTCGATGCATTCAGGTTGGCGACGGGTGATGGGGGGGGCACGTAGCTGGGGATCGGCCACTGGTCGGGGTGATGGTCGACTGTGACGTCAGAGGCTGACGCCACATCTGGTAATCAGGTATGCTGATTTCTGCCGCTACAGTTGTATACATCAGAGCTGTACAAGTTGTCAACTGTTGGCGTCTCTGACTCTATTTTCTTCCTGACAGGTTTCGTTGACCCTTTGCATTGAAAGACGAAACACAACTCCTCACTCAGGACTGATATTATTGATTTCTGTTGAGAAAAAAAAGAAAATAAGATCATTTAACGATCGTATTATTCAATAATCACTATCATCATCCCTACAGAATACCATTCTTCTAAGCCTAACCTAAACCTATCACCAGGCATTGCATCATCCTCATTCCTTCACATCCTTATTTTCCTCTATATCGACACTCCCTTTTCCCTCTACACACGGAGCGAACACACCCCCTACCTCGTCCTCCTTCGAGATGTCCCAGCACTCGAGGACGAACTCCGCCAGCGCCACGACCAACGCCAGCCCCATCCCCCCGAGGAGCACCACGAAGACACCGCCCACGTTCGATAAGTTCAGTTCACTCGCCATGCTGCTTCCGCCCGCCTCCTCCTGCGGGGATGGGCGGACGATGGGGGTTGGGGCGGTAAGGGTGGTGAGAGTGGTGGTGAGTGGTGGTGATAGGGGTGTGAAGTGAAGGTGGTGGTGTGATGTTTGGTGGGTGGTGGTGAGAGTGAGGATGGAGGTGGTGTGATGATGTGGTGGTGAAAGTGGTGGTGGGTGTGGTGGCAGGGGTGGTGAGAGTGAGGGTGGTGGTGATAGGGTGTGGTGGTGGTAGGGGTGGTGAGAGTGAGGGGTGGTGGTAGTGGTGATGGTGGTAGTTTGGTGGGTGGTGGTGAGAGTGAGGATGGCAGTGATGATGGGGTGGTGAAAGTGGTGGTGGGTGGTGGTGGCAGGGGTGGTGGAAGTGATGGTGGTTGTAGGAATAAGGATGGAATGGGGTGGATGGAAAATATAATGATGGAAAGATATGTAGATATGAAAAATGATTTTGCATTCATAAGAAATTTATCACACAGCAACGGCCTATCGAACAAAGCAGATATATATGGAATAGTTTATTACATGTTTAATGCAATCCTCTCTGTGGTAGGATATGCTGCAACACACGCAGTTCCAATATTATGATGCTAAGAATAAAAAGATGTTTCATTCATTGGTATTTCATAACATGTGAAAAGGAATGCACAATCAGAATTGTGCATAAAACGCACACCACTACAACACACACACACACACACACACATACACACACAAGCACACACGCACACACACTAATCTCACAACAATATTAAAAGATGATAATAAATAACAACAAAAAAAAACGAATAAAAAACACCAATAATATCAATAAAGGACATTACCTTCTCCTTCGCACACTTGTCAGACCTGTTTTTCTCCTTCCACCATCGTCTCTTCAGCATCTGTATTTTCGACGTTTCCTGGAGTGACAGAATGGCACTGCTGATGGCACTCGTGTAAGGAGAGCCTGGGAGAGGGGGAGAGGGTGTTAGTCTCATTACCGAATTGTGTTAATTGAAGCTCGTGTTATTTGTGTTAAGGGTGTTACGGAGGGTTTTCAATGAAGGGAGTGGGAGGGGGTTGTTAGTAATTTGCTATTTGTGTTAATTTTTTTCTCGGTTGGTATTACTAATTTAGATCATGATGATTGTTGTTGTGCTCTTCATCATCATCAATCATCATCATCATCGTCAATCATCATCATTATCATTATCATCATCAATCACACCATCATCATCAATTACCATCATCATTATCATCACCATCATCATCAATCATCACCATCATCATAATCAATTATCACCATCATCATCATCATCGTCAATCATCATTATCATTATCATCATCAATCACCATCATCATCATTATCATCACCATCATCAACCATTATCATCATCATCATCACCATCAATCATCATCATCAATCATCACCATCATCATCATCAATCATTATCATCACCATCATCATTATCATCACCATCATCATCATAATCATTATCATCACCATCATCATCATTACCGTCTTCACTAAAAGAAAAAAAGATGGCGAGAGCAAGGCATTCGCTCGCTTGACTCGCAAGAGGAAACGCGCCCCCCCCCCTCGCCTCACCTGGAGGAAGTGCGATGCCGTAGCTCTTCGAGTCGAGGAGACCCCCGATCTGCGTGAGGTCGCACTGCCGCTCCACCACGTACTCGATCGACGTGGACTCCATGAGGTAGGCGTACAGGCCGTTGCTCTCCTGTAGAAGGCAGGCGGTTAGGGCTCCGTGGCGTGGGGCGTTTAACTGCTGTGCACACACATACACACACACATGCGCGCGCATACACACACACACACACACACACACACACACACACACACACACACACACACACACACACACACACACCACACACACCAACGACACCAAATCTTACCACAATATGGATTTATCTTTTTCTACTTAAACACTAATATACTCAAGAGGCCTGACCTTGCCTGTGACCTGGTGTGACCTTACCTGGACTCGCTTGACCCCCTCGGCGTTGGAGGCGGGGAAGACGGAAGGGCCCGGGTCCTCGTGGCGCATCATGGTCGCCCACATGCCCTGGTACGTCGGGATCTTGGAGTCCCTGAGGAAGGAGGGTAATGTAAGGGTTTTTAAAAATCATTCGTTTCTTTCTCTTTCTCATTCGCACTCTCTCTCTGTATCTGTATCTGTATCTCTCTTTCTCTCCCTCCCTCCCTACCTCTTCTCTCTCTCACTCCCTCCGTACTACCCTCTCTCTCTCTCCCGATCCCTTATCTCACTCCCTCCCTAGTACTCTCTCTCTCTCCTCTCTCTTCCCCCCTCTCCCCTCCTCTCTCGTCGCTTCCACCACTTCCCTCCACCCTACCTAAAAACACAGAAATAGCTCCACACTCCTCTCCACACTCCACACCCCACTCCCTGTACCTGAAGAAGGCCATGGTGCTGCCCGTCTTGAGCGATCCATACTTGATCTTGGTCTGTTTGGCGAGGTCCTCCGCTGACTCAATGGGAGAGTCCATGCGCTCGACGGTGAGGAAAGCGGCCAGGTTAGCGGTGTAGGACGAAATCATGATCAGAGTGAAGAACCACCACATGCCAGCCACCATGCGGGTCGATACGGCTCTGTTGAATGAGGGAATTCGTTGTAGTATTATGCATTTGTTTAAATATTTGTGTTGTGTGCTATCTATTTTTTTTGCGTGTAATCTAGGCCTACATCTTCCACCTGGTTTACTCCTTCGGCTTGTCCACCAAGAACCGCATGTGTTTGGATGTACAATGGAAAAACTTGAAGATAAACACGTGCATAATTGTAATTTTCTGTACGTAGTTGACCTCTGTATTTACCGTTATGGATACAATCAGTTAAACCTTTGCGTAACGTACATGCGTGCATACTTGTCTGTAAATATATGAATAAGCTACATCCATTAAATACTGTCGTTCGATAAATTTCCCTGATATCTGATGCGGCAAATTCACAGGACGTACTGAGGAAGGAAGTCACAGCCTTGCTGCATAAGGGAGCCGATGGCGAACCACAGGCAGTTGAGGATCGTGAACTGGTTCTCCAGCGTGTCGGGGTCGGGGTCGCACGGGTGGGGGTTCTGCCACTCGTACGGCGTGAACCTGCGCGGAAGAAAGAAACGGTCAGTGGTTCTCGACACCTTCAGGAAACCAAAGCAAAATGACAGCCCTCCGTTAACACAAGCCAGTCCTTAGAAAAAAAAGTCTCACGAAAAAAAAGGCTAAAGAAGGCGAACTCACCTCGCAAGAATATACATGAGGATGGAGACGCCCGACGTAAGCAGTGATCATGTAAATCCAGACTTCGAGGGACAGAGGGGACAGGAAGGAGAAGAGGGAAGGCGCCATCTTCTGGGGTTTCTTGTACAAAATGGAAATCCCGAGGTTCATGAACGGCATCGTGAAGTCGACCACTTGTTCGCGTTCGTAATTGATGGTTAGGTCTGTGATGGCCATGTCTGCGCGCTGTGGACGAGAGGGGGGGGGGGAAGGGGGATGTTAATCATGCCTAAGGTCGGTTAAAGGGCTTAGAGGGACTGTTTTATCATTGTGTCGGTGTTACAGCCTGTTTTTTTTCTTAATTGTTGTGCAGTGTGTCAGGAAAATAGATTTTGTTTGGCCATTTTTACGTCAAGACTGATTGGTACTCATAAAGTTCGTGCATTATTTCGTTCACCTACGTAAAGTACCTGGAAACAAACCAGGAATCATAAATTCATCTTTTCAAATATCATCATTGCACCTTTAAACAAATATTGCTACTATCATATGACAAAGAACATTAAAAGATGGAGAGAAAAATGCAAACACACACACACGCACACACAAATCCACCCACACATCCACACCCACCGCACACAAATACCCTTACACCCACACGCACCCAACGCCAAAGAGCCCCACCACCCACGCCCGCACCCAACGCCAATGAGAACCCACCCGCCCACGTCCGCACCCAACGCCAAAGAGCCCCCACCCGCCCACGCCCGCACCCAACGCCAAACAGCCCCACCAACCCACGCCGCACCCAACGCCAAAGAGCCCCCACCAACCACGCCCGCACCCAACGCCAAAGAGCCCCCCACCCGCCCACGCCCGCACCCAACGCCAAACAGCCCCACCAACCCACGCCCGCACCCAACGCCAAAGAGCCCCCACCCGCCCCACGCCCGCACCCAACGCCAATGAGAACCCACCCGCCCACGTCGGCACCCAACGCCAAAGAGCCCCACCCGCCCACGCCCGCACCCAACACCAAACAGCCCCACCAACCCACGGCCGCACCCAACGCCAAACAGCCCCACCAACCCACGCCCGCACCCAACGCCAAAGAGCCCCACCCGCCCACGCCCGCACCCAACGCCAATGAGAACCCACCCGCCCACGTCGGCACCCAACGCCAAAGAGCCCCCACCCGC